TCCAGTTCCAGAGGATCTGATGCCCTCTTCTGACCTCTGTGGGCATTGCATGACACAGGTGCACTTACATACATGCAGAAAACACACTCATGCATATAAAACAAAAATAATAAATATTTTGTAAAATAATATATTTATATTTGTGTATGATTATTGAATCTAGAATGTCCCCTGCAGGCTCAGTCCTTAACTGAAGGTGCTATTTTGAGAGCTGGAAACATTAGGAGGTGGAGCCTAGCTTCAGGAAGTTTGTAAGTAGAAGCAGGATATCCTTGCCCATTTCCTGTCTCTTTCTGCTTTCTGGTCGGCCTTGATGCCAACAGCCTCTACCACATGCTTGCTCTGCCATGATCTGAACTACTCCATCCTACCTTCCCCATCACGACAGACTGAAACCCTCTGAAACCATGATCCTATATAAAGTTTCCTCCTTTAAAATGGTCCGCTCGGGGATTTTGGTTGTAGTGACAGAAAAGCAACTTCTCAGCCCTCCCAGAGGGCAGGATGGGGATGGGGTACAATTTCCTAGAGGGCAGGATGGGGATGGGGTACAATTATTTCCTAGAGGGCAGGATGGGAATGGGGTACAATTATTTCCTAGAGGTCAGGATGGGGATGGGGTACAATTATTTCCTAGAGGGCAGGATGGGGATGGGGTACAATTTCCTAGAGGGCAGGATGGGAATGGGGTACAATTTTCCTCCGCATTCTCTTCTTCCCACCTTCCTTTTCTGTTGTCAGAGATTTTGCACCATCCTCCTTAAAATGCAGTGGTTGAGTGCTCAGGTGCTGGAAACAAGCAGCCTAGAGTCAGATGCATACATCGACCTTGGCTTAGTTAATTATCTATCTGTATTTCAGTTTTCCTCTTGGCAAAATATTCTATCCACAACACTCCTCTGCTCCACCAACTGAGCTATCTAAGGCTCCACTTCTCCTTGGTAAAATAAACTAGCCCTACTGTCTACCTTAAAACAGTTGTTGATGTCAAGAGAAATAACATGAACTGTTTAGTCGGTGACTGCTATGAAATGTAATGTCAGTTACTCTTAGATCTTGCTTCCCTTTATTTACACATCCTCTGCAGCCTCAGGGCCTTTTCACTGCCCTGTTATCTGCATATGGACTTTTGCTTTACCTCCCTGTGCTTAATCTTTATTCACACTTGAGATTTCAGTTTAAGGATTGTTTCCTGAGGCAAACCTTACAGAACAGACCCAGATGAAGCACAAAGAGCAAGATTATGTTGTAATTCACACATCTCTCTTTCATAGACGTATAATTAACGAAACAACTTATTTGACATTTATCTTCTCACTGCAATGTAGTATTGAAGAATGCTTTATCTAGTGGCTAATGAATAAGTATTATTGCGTGTGCTGGCTGTGCATTACAAGCAGTAATACACTAGATAAACAATATAAGATGACTGACTCTCAAGCACAGAAGACTAAGCACTAAAGACGTGTGATGCCTAAGAGAAGATAAACTCAAGAGGTGAGCCTGCAGATGTCCTGGTTCCCTCCCTTGTGGCATGCTCCTCTCAAGGCTCAGGGCAGTGAAACCCTGAGTTGAGATGCAGACGTGAACAAGGCTACTGAAGTGGCTAGAATTTGTAAAGAACAAGAGAAGTGATGTCCGTGTGTGATGGGGAGTTCTTCAGGGACCTGTGTGAGGATTAAACGTGGGTTGCTGACTAAGGATTTGGAAATGCCTTCTCAGGGTGAGCTTGTGAGGCAGAAGCTGCTATGTGGCTGAGAAGCAAATGGAGATAACAGAATTCAAGAAGTCCTGGGAGGCGTTGAAGTTCTGGCACATGCATGAATGTGAACACACACACACACACACACACACACATGGGCAAGCACATGTACACACACATGTGCTTATCTGTACACACACAAACATAGGCACACACCTGCTTACACACAGGCAAGCACCTGTACACAAAGACACATACACAAGCATGCACATGTATACACACACACATACACACACACACACACACACACAAAGGTAAAGAAAAGACAACAACTGCGTAGAAGGTGTCTGGCATTCTGTGGGAGCTCAGGGAGCTCAGGAAGACTGCATTAGGAGAAAATATATCCCTAGAGTGAGAACCACATTCATGAGTTCAAAACTGTTGTACTACAGAATAACTTCTAGAATAACATTCAGTACTATTTAAAGGTAGACCACACAATCCAAACTTCCTACATTGTGTTGTAAGGATGCCAGCTCTGCTGTAAAACATTACTGATATGTGAATGCACCACAAAGTGTGGCCATGGTCACAATAACAAAGGAGTGAATACAAGCAGATCTAAAGATGGATACACATGTTGGAATTAATAAGAAATGGCTTTCAAGA